CCTAACACAACTCCAATAACAATAAAATATCCCACGAAATAATAAAAGTTTATATCAAACTTTGGATATCATCTTTATTTTAATAATTGTCTGCTATATCTAATCTCGAGCTTTTTAAACCTCTATAATATTTAATTCTACAATATCGAGGTCAAAATAAGTACTATAACTTAGTCAGGCTTCCTAGATTTTCCTTTTTACATGTCTATAAATTCATTTTCATAATTCAACCTCAAATTTTTAGTCAAAATTTGTAAATTCAAGTCAACTATTAACTCTACACTCAACCATGAGATTTGTTAATACTTTAGAAAGTCTAAGTGTGGTGAACTAAGCCCATAATAAAATATGATTATCTAAGGATAACATCCTCTATGAGTATCTTATGTATGACCATTCTAAACCATTAATACTTTCAAAGTAAATTTAATCAACTCTCATAATATTTTCAAATCAATATTCGTAACCTCAAGTACGTCGTTATGAAAATAACTCCAGTCCATTTAAGAACAATAACCACAATTCCTATTGTCATTCCAAAATAGGCTTTCATTCGATGTTACTTCACCATATTCCTTCAATTGATCATATTTGAGAATTATACTATCTCATACCATCGTACTCACCCTAGAGGAAAACATAACACTCTCATGGTTCATATCATAAAACCAAAACTACATTCATTCCTTAATTTCTATGACATTTAAGCAACACACATAATTTTTCATAACCTTATTATTCAAAACTTAGTCCAACTTAAAAACATCTAAGTTGCTCTTACCTCCACACTTCCAAATTGGTTTATCACATCTCCTTCATTTCTAAATATATAAGTAAATATTAATAGTAGAATAGAATACTTAGAGTCAACAAGACACCAAATCATAGTCAAATTTATATTATTAGCCATCAAAGCACTTCAATCACTATGGAGGTGTCTCTAAATCAAGCCTAACTAGTGTGGAAGTTGCTTAAGAATAAGTCCTTCAGAGTCTACGAAGAAAAACACGACACTTTGCTATCCAAGGAACAATACAGTGCAGAATTTTTTGATCAACTTAAGAAAATAAAATGATGTAATTTAGACATTTCTAGCATAAGTGACCTATATGGTTGCAAAGATATACGAGTTAAGATTCTAACAAAAAAAATAGTGCGCAATTTGAACTTTCCAACAAAGAGTTATAGTCCAATTAGAAAAAGGTAGTCGACTTGACTGAGAGTTCTGCAACAGTTGTCCAATTTGAGTTTGGGTGTCTTTTGTCACAAATTTTATCTCATACCCTTCTCAAATATAGATAATGTCACTTGCATAAAGATTCACACATAGTATCATTTACTAACCAACAACCCAATTATCATCCGTCTCCTAGGATAGTCCATAATGACATGATATAGAACAAACATATCCATCCCAAATTTTTTTTTCAATTCATCTAAGCTAAGTAATCCATGAATTCGAACAAATAATTAATCTCTAACCTAACTAAGAAACAAATCACGTTTATCTTATAACCATATAACTTCAAACAAATTCAAGCCTAGAGTTTCTTCAACTTAACCTAATGTTCCAATTAGGGATGGCAGTGGACCGAAGCGGGGGCGGGGGGTGTAGTCTCCATCCCCATACCCGCTTAAAAAAACTCCATCCATCCCCGGTCCACCCCCGTTAGCGGGTATAATTTTTATCCCTATCCCCGTCCGCGGGTAAATTTTTAATCTCCGCTCCCGTCCCCGCTTCCACAGTAGCCGCACTTCTAAACGTGAAAAAAAAAATTCCTTCAAAAAACTTGAGAGTATCTATGATCTACCCTCTTAATTGACTAAATTATCTGCCTGAATATCGACCAATCTAGGGACCTATGTAACCTCCATGTTCTGTGAAGCAGATAAATCCAATATTCCCTCAAAACAAATTAGCATAGATGCAAGAAGGCAAAGTGTAAGGACCAAGCTACCCCATCATACTACTACAGTTATTTTTATCACAGCCAAGTAAAGATAAGCAGAGAGGATATCAACAGTCAAAACAAATAATATTTGCATTCAACCAAGAAATATTCCAGAATCCATCATAATTCATCTACTAGCATAATTTGCAAAGATTACATTTATGTCAAAACAATGCATCCTATAGCAGCATGTATATATGCATCCAACAACTGAGAGTATTTATATATATATATATATATATATATATATATATATATATATTAACAGCTAAACGGGGACGGAGACGTGCGGGGTCGGGGCGGGGATAAGGGTAAGTCCATTCCCGCATGGGTTTATACAGGTATCTCCATATACGTCCACCGTCCAATACGTATAGTCCATCCCCAGTCCAAATGGGACAGGTTTGGACGAATACCCGTTTCTCCCCGGTCCACTGTCATCCCTAGTTCCAATGATAGTCCACAACCTATAGCTCTCATGCAAGACCTAATTCCTAAGCTCTAATACCAAACCTGTAAGGCATTACTATTTACAAACCATCCAACCATGAGAGCAACTCAAAATAACCATTAAATAATAATTCATTCATCCCTTTGATAAGGAATAAATATTAAAGTCAATCAAACATTAAAACTTCTCCAACTTACAATTCAAAACTAAGAATATCTAGCAGTGGAATAATCAAAACTAGCTAAAGCATTGTTTCATAAAAATCTCTCAAACTCTAAATCAAAAATAGAACAACTCTATTCTTTTAAGGTAGGATCCGCATCTTGATCCTCCAATGGCTCGTAATCAATTTGCTCATCCACATTGACATTCTCTTCTATGTCAAAATCTGTAAGTGTGTTTTAGGGGATGAGCAAAAGGCCGTAGAAAATCCCTCTCAAATCCCAACAAGGTTTAAAACAATAAAAGATGGCAAGTATCTTTTAGAAAAATAGCATAAATAGATTTTGAGAATAAAACCATGATAGTTGTAATAATTTCAAGTGTACGAAATACAGTAAAATAATGACAGGAATAAACTTGCAAGAAATTAAAACAATCAATAAATATCTCAATAACATCATTACATATTCTCATGTACGTTAGTTCATCCCTATTGTCATGTATATTGGTTGTTTCTCAGGAATTTACACAACGATTCTGCCTTGTTCACCCACCACAACCACATAATCTCAATCATTCCCCGCAGGGCCAAATCACAAACCACTTTAGGAAGGACATATATTGTCTCCCACGGCAATGACGAATCCTTCTTAAGAAAGGTATATCATCTCTCAGCCTCGAACTTACATGAACAATAGTGGTTGCTCTCACAAACAACAATCCACTACAAGTGTTAGGCAACCATCTCACCCCCACTAGGATAGACTAACTCTTAACACTCTACGATAGTTCTTAAAGGCAATTCAAGTCCATCACAACAAACCATACAAGAGATGAAACCACAATATTCTCAACAACCACAATCTTAACCAATCACAATTTTCATTAACAATTCAAGTATCACAAGTGCACAATTCTCAATATACTATAGTATTAAAGGAATTAAAATATGCAAAAGATCATCTCAAGAAAATATTCACAATTTTGATATCAAAATTCTAGGGTTTAGCCAAAAATCATAATTTCTTGAAACAAGAACAAATATTAGATGAAAACATGATTTAATCAAAAATAGGAATTTAGAAATTAAGAATCCATATGAATTTCGCAATAGAACATGTATTTTAGAAAAATTAGGGTTTTGAAAATTCAAAAACATGTATTTCTTGAACCCAAACATGTATTTTATTCAAGACTATATTCCAATGATAAAGAAACTAAGAACTCATATATATCTATCATATAATTATCAAGAAGATTGAAATCATATACAATTATACCCCAAGTCTCAATGAAAGAACTTGAGAAGAATCTCCTACCTCAATGTCGTAATTTGTGTATAAACCTAGCTTGTTTGATCCGTTGCAACGTGAGAATCCCTTTGAGTCTTGTGTTTCTCCTTCTCTCTCGCTCTCTAGGGTTGAAAACTGATGAAATATAGCTAAAGAGACGCCCTTATGGTATTTATAGGGTGAAAAACGGAGAAAAACACTAAAACTAATTGGGGTCATTTTTAGGGTAGCGTCTGAACGATCCTTGGACGTCCAGACGGTTCAAACTCACTGTTTTTGATGAAAAATAAAGTTTTTGGGTAAGGAGTACCGTTCCAACGGTACTTAGAGTGTCTGGAAGGAGACAACTTTTTGTCCCAACTTCAGGAGCAGTTTTCATCTATTTAGAAGTTGATTCAGAAAATTTTCGTGAAATACACTTTTGTAACCCTTAAAGTTTAGTTTTTACTATCCAAAAATCAGCTCAATCAAAGTTAGGATTAAAAAGTTATGGCCAAAATACTAAAGTAGTATCAAATTTCTTCTTACCCGAATTCTTTCTAAAATGCGTTTTAACTCTGAAATACTTCATAACTTCTAATACACCCCATGTTACCTCTTCCAAGGTTTCTCGACCTTCCGGATCCAATGGTAACCTTATTTTAACTTAAAAATATTTAAAAACCTATCTATTCACTATTCTTAAGCTTAAACACCTTCAAAACTAAGTTTGACCCCAAAGTCAATTCATCCGAAACTCAAACTTCATGATCAATCTTTTAACAATGATTCGAGGTTTCTACAATCTTTTATTCATCCTAAGAGAAATGTTAATATGATATTATTCTTATTTAATTCTAGTACAGAGTCTTACATATGTACCATTGTGCTTTGATATAGAAAATGATAGAATTGGCAACCAAGGGGTGGCAAAAGGTTCACCATCATCCTACATAGTACTTGAAGTTTGTTTCCTTATCCTAATAACAAAGTAAAAGAATTCGGGCAGTCCATCAAAACAAGAGGGGGTTATAGATGTTATACCAAAACTTCGCAAAAAGGTGCCTTGGGGGCTGAATTATAGGAATTGCGCAATAGGCTTTTTATTTCTTTGAGAAGCTCTACAAAAAATTTATTTAAAAAAAATTATTCCATCTTAAAACCTTAATGAATTGGAATAATGTTGATAGCATATGCTCCTACATTCAACCTCGAGAGCAATTTACCCGGAAAATTACATATGAAAACAATAACAAAAAAGTTGACAAATACCAGTAATTTATCTAGAGAGAAAGAAGTACCGTAATTTCCCAACGTAAATAGAGCTCTAGAAATTATTACATTATATTTCTGGTATCCCGAATCACCCAATCCAAACACCGCATATTGAACTTGTTTCAACCATTGCTGACTTAGATTTCTTTGCAAGAGAAACCTCCAAAACACCTGCAAATAAGAATTAAAACATAAAGAACAAAACTGAGCTATCAAGAAACTTATATTCATTTCCCAGGACGTAAAAAAAAAATTATATTCATTAAACAAAAAACCAACCTTCATGGAATCAGGTGAGTCTCCCTGACCGGTGGTGGAAACAACAAAAATCACAATTTTCAACGGAGGCAACAAGCCCTAAAAAATGAAAATAAACACAATTAACAACAGATAATTTGATGCTCGACCCATTATCTCAAGCAAATATAAAGAAAAAAAACCCACAAAAAAAAAAAGGAATTTCAGGCATTAGTGTATGGTAAAACATAAAAATCTTTGCTCACACAATCATTAGGCAACTAAACCCAGTAGTACTAGTTTGCTTTCCTAAAATAGAGAACATCACAAACCACAAAAATTTAACTTGAATTTGATTTTTGTATTTGTCATTCATTTAGAACACCATTCTACTAATTGTACAGAGATTAGTAAATACACCAGCATGGATAAGATATATCGATGATACAAAACAAACAACTATGTGCAATGCATCATATAGTTCATGTCAGATGTTATGAATGAAAGCCTCAACTATAGTGGAATTCATTCACCAACTGACGGGACGTGGTCTACCAAACCAATTGTACATGGACACGTGGCACCTATCATTCAATCCACCAAAAAGGTGATGATTGCACAAGATAGGGTGCCTAGAACTGGGGAAGTGTTCGGTCCCCGGGGAACAGAGGACAAGAACCCTAACAACCAAAGTGGAAGTATAAGAGATGAGTCAGCAACCCTCGACGTGGCGGTGGCTTGCACCTCAAGATCACTCGGCACTCCTGCCTCGGTGTTACTCGGTCCCGAGTGTATCATAAGGGATTACTAGTAACAGAAGTTGAGGATACACTCTCGGTTTATGATTATGTATGAGCTCACTCACCTAGTCGACATTAGGGCATGTGTTTAATTGGGAGTAATTGAAGGAATGTTTCCTGGAGATTCACGTTCAATTAATCAGCAGGCGTGGGTCTATCTCTCCAAAAAGTCAAAAAAAAACAGAGAAGTACACTACAACCAATCATGAGGAGTGTCCTTAAATGCTTATCAAGCACTCGGCCACGAGACCTCAACGATCAATAAATGCCTTATAGGCACATGCCAGTATTTGAGAAATACTTAATGCTCAAGAAGGCAGAGGCAATAGACATTAAATGCTTAATAAATGCTTGGCATAAGCTGAGACGCCGAGCATTTAATGTCATTAATGCATCTTCATGCAAAAGACCAAAGATCGAAGTGAAACGTGTGCTCTATTCGAGACCAGCCCACCTGATCAGACTGAAGGAAGATTCCTATTGTCTTTGGTACAAACCAATCAACAGCCTTCCCATGAATGGGACCAATTGGATAGCCACGTCGAACTCAGCTATCCGTCTAAAGGGTATAAATAGGAGACTAATCCCAGAAGCAACGTATGCAACTTGAACACAGAAATAGCCTTGTGTTTCATTCCCTCATCAAAAACTGACTTTAGCATTGAAGGGGAAATGCCAGAACCACCTCTGGTATCTCTTCTAACCCTTCTTTGCAAGTGCCAAGTTGCTAGATTCGAGAGTTCAAGGTCTGAAGTGCGGAGGACACAAATCACTCGTTGGAGAAGCACCAAGGATGCCACTTCTAATCATAATGAACATTTCACTTAAAAACTGAAAAAAAAAAAACTCATCAGGCGGTTACCTTTTTTTCATATCTAACGTTTTTTTTTTTAAATATATCCCCCACCTCTTTCATGACCCATGGCCCCAGTGTGTCACTAGAAGAACCTATAAACTCTGACATTGTACAAGAAATCTCCTGTGCACCAACACAAAATTAACATTCATAAAAATGAATCACAAAAACCATTATGAAGCATTTACCCATTATGTAACGCTGCTAGGAACACTCAATCAAAGTGGCAGCTATAACGTGCATTTAAGAATCTTCCGCAGCTTTAGATGTTCTAATATATCTAAATTTTTCCCACAGATCGAAAACCGCCATTGAACTAGGTGTTTCTTCCTAGTAATTCAGTTTTGTAACACCAGAAATAACAAGAACACTTGCATAAAATCTTAAAAAACCAAACAGTTGACACGGGTTTAACTGTACATTTTGTAGTAAAGTACCCTATAGCCCGTAGGTTCTAAGCAGTCTATTCAATTGCAATAACTCAACAAACACATCAAATTCATTAACGTTGAAAAAAAAAATGAATTTGACTTACGGCGTCAAACTGATCAACGGAAAGGACGGTGACAGAGCAGCCTCTCCGCTCAGCTTCACGACCCAACCGCTCGGCTGCGTCCATTGCGTTTCCGGTTTGAGACGCGTACAAAATCAATAGCTTCGGTTGCTCCTCCATTTTTCCCATTGCCACTTCTGCGTCGTGTGAACACTACAGAACTGATTTCACACACAGAGAGAGACAGAAGCGGGTTCTTTCTGTGGGGAAAAATAAGGGCTTTCGGCGAGGGATGGGCTTGGGATTGGGCGACTGTGTGAATACGGCAGACGTTGTTCTGTAGAATCTGTACTACCAATAACAAAGAGTGCCGGAATGGGTTTTCGGTGACCCTATGAATACGGCAGATGTTTGATTGGGAGTGCCCGCTTTCAAATTAGTAACGTGAATTTTAAGTATCAAATATTAAACTTTTTAATTTTTTAATTTGTTGGCCGTTTGATATACGTTAAATTGTAATATCATGCTTATCAAATTTTTTATTAAATTTTTTATCTCAAAGTGATGTAAATACAATCTCAATTATTAAATATTAATGAAATTCATTTATTTAATAGTAAAAATTATATCACATCACTTGAAATAAAAAACTTAATAAAAAATTTAGATGTAAGTACTAAATTAAATTAAATTATTTGAAAAATACAATGGGTTAAAGTTTAAAATTATTATTTTTCTAATTTTGTCACATTATTTGTATTACCATCGTCATTACCATTTCACAATCACTACTATTGACCCACACTCCTGCTATTGTCACCGTCTCATTATCAAATTCCCTATTATCCAACTACCATCATAACCCTCATATGAACCCTCCTCTAATAACATTGCTACCAACATTCATTGTCATATATTATGTTACCATTGCCACCATCATCCCTTTGTCACTATCACCACAACTACCCCACCCCCACCCCCACCACCGCCATTCATTATTAACAACTTCATCACCTAACCACAATCATCATTGTTATTATCCTTACAACCTATCACCTTCATGCCACCATGTTTACCGCAATTGTGGTAGTTGGATGCAATATTGACAACAATGAAGAGTGGTAATGGAGGATGAAAGTGAAAATAATTATGGTGGGTAGGGTGGTAGCAACGACAATGTTTGGGTGGTGGCAGTGGGAAAATGATAATAATGACGGGTAGTGTTGGTGGTTGGTTAGTTGATGGCGGTGTCAAGGTAATGAAATGGTAGGTAGGCATATTAAAAACAATAATGGAGATGGGGCAAATGTTGAGGTATGGTGGTAATGGTTATGTCGGAGTGATGATGATCATGGAGGGGAGAGAATGAGCGGTTGTTAAGGCGGTGGCCGTGGTGATAGTGGTAGTGGTGGTAACGATGGTGTGGTGCTAGATATGAAAGAGTGGTGGTGATGGCAATGACGACAATGGGGATAACAGCAGTAACAAGAGTGGTAGTGGTGGTAGAATGACGGTGTTGGTGATGGTCGCAACGATGGTGGTGGTAATAGTAGTGGTGGTGAGGATGGGGGTGGTGGGTGATGGCGAATATAGTAAAGTGGTGATGATGGTGAGGGTGACAGTAGTAACGATTGTAGTGGTAGTGTCGATGAGGTGGTGATAAGGGGGCAATATTAGTGATGGTAGTAGGGTGGTATTGGTGCTAGTCACAATAATGGTGGCAGTGGTGATAGTAGGATGGTGGGTGTTGAAATATTGGAGCAATTTATTTGAGGGTAAACTTTCTATTACAATAAGTTTTATAAAGATGTGCTTTTATAATTTTAATTGGTGTGAGTCTTGATTATCAAACTCATTTAATTGAGAAAGTGCATAATGTTTTCATTTTCAATGTGAATTAGGCTATCAGACACAACCTACACATTACTATATTATTTTTAAGTTCATTCTCGAAAACCAAAGAGTAAGGATGTATTACGACATTAACTTGAAACCAACTCGCATGTTCTTTTTACGATATCATGGTATTTGTCGTGACATATTATATGATGCTTTGACAATGTTAATAGTCGATAACACTAAGTTAGAGTCTATTGTTATCTATTGTATTATAGATGGCAATACGGGGAAATAGTCGACAGAGCAGTTGGAACAACCAACCACTACAACCGCCCATCTACGATTAAGGGGCATTCATGAATGTTATAATTGTCATGGCGACTACTTTCATACAAGCAAGTACCAACATGGGTCAAGGAAGCTCGAGCAACATCCAAAAGTTCAAGGCATACAAGCCACCTACTTTCATGGGAGAAGCAAATTCGATGGTAGCCGATCATTGATTCTAACAGGTGGAGAAGATTCTTGAGGCAATAAAGATCACCTCTGATGCCACAATGATTAGGCTTACCACCTTTCAACTTGAAGGGGAAGCCCACCAATGATGGGGTATGGGCAAAGTCATCAAGGGACTTGGAGGTTGTGACGTGGGCCGAATTCTAAGAGTTATTTATGAACAAGTACTTCCCTTCCGCTCTCAGATTAGTAAAGGCCCGAGAATTCTTGGATTTCAAGCAAGTCATGCAGTATGTGGTTAAATTGTCCAAGTTAACCCATTTTGCCAATGATTGTGTGGCCACCGATATGACAAAGGTGAGGAGGTTTGAGGATGGTCTAAAACCGCCCATACGAGGCAAGATAATGGGCCATAGGTTGTAAGAACTAGATTCTTTAGTTGAGACAGTCATGGCCATTAAGAGGGAGAATGATGCTAAGAGCATCCGGGAGCTTGGAGCTAAGGACAAGAAAAAGAAGGGTCAGTCTTCCAACACAAGTTTGGGCAAGAAGCAAAAGACCTTAACACCATAAGGGTATCAGGGGCAAGGTCAGGGTTACCAAGGACAGGATCAGAGTCAATTTTCTGAAGGGGAAGAAATTTCAGGGGCACGCAATAAGGGGGCCTAAAGACATGTTACATATGTCATCAGCCAGTCCATATGAAGCGGAATTGTCATTAGAGACGGGGATCCTAAAGCTACGGGACCTCTTAGTTTCAATCATCAGTGAGGCCTCCACTGCCAGTCTTCTTTCCTCCCTACCTTACCATGGTCCAGGGAAATCATTATCAACCTCAAAGCGTTGGGCAGGTTCTAGCTACTTCACGTCCAGCGACTTCGCAAGTAGACCAAACAAGCCAAGGTGTAGGCTGAGGCTGGGGACAAAGATATCAACCAAGCACATCAGGGACCTAAGGGCAAGACTTCACGATCACTCCTCAAATTTAGCTAGCAGATCAATCAATGGTTCAAGGTACATTCTTACTCTCACATTTATGAGCAAGGGTGTTAGTTGGTTTTGGTGCATTTCATTCATTCGTCTTTAAATCATGTATGCATGACTTGGGCTTAGAGGTTGAATTCTTAGAGAAACCGTTGTATGTGAATTCTCCCCTATGAGATAGAGTTTGCATTAATCAGATATATTGAGATTGTGAGTTAGAGATTTCTGTGATTCAACTCACGGTAGACCTTAAGATCATGGACATGTCAGAATTTGATGTCATCCTTCGGATGAATTAGTTATCGACACATAGGGTAGTTATCAATTGTGATCGGAAGAGAGTCATCACTTATACTTTGGAGGAAGTTTGTTTCAAATTCTAAGGAGAAAAACACAACACTTTACCCCAGGCCATGTATGGCTCTCATTGGCATGACCAGTTGATGGGTTAACTTGTGAGCCTTACTCTTAAGGACAAGGTGAGACAGAAATTGGGTCTATATCAGGTCATTTGCGAGTATGTGGATGTCTTCCCAAAGGAGTTACTAGGATTGTCTCTACATTGGAATGTCAACTTCTCCATTGAGTTACAACCTAGTGTATCTCCCATCTCTATGGCACCGCATAGGATGACACCGACATAATTACAATAACTCAAAGTCAAATTGCAAGAGTTGTTGGATAAGGGTTTTATTAGACCTAGTACCTCACCTTATGGTGCTTCGGTACTATTTGCCAAGAAGAAGGATGGGGCTCTTAGGCTTTGTATAGATTACAGATAGTTGAATTGGGTCACCATCAAGAACAAGTACTCATTGCCACACATAAATGACCTATTTGACCAATTGAGATGGGCTTCAGTCTACTTTAAGATAGACTTTCACATGGGGTACCATTAGTTGAATATACGGGAAGTCGACATTTCTAAGACGACTTTTAGAACTCGATATGGCCATTTCGAGTTTACAGTCATGACATTCGAGTTAAAAAATGTTTCAGCGGCATTCATTGACCTCATGGATATGACCAACGTGTAGTTGAACCACTAGAGTCTGAAGTACATCTTCACTCAGTGAGATCTTAACATGAGATAGGGTCGATGAATGGAATACTTAGAGGGTTATGTCTTTAGTTTGCATTATCACCCCAGTAAAATAAGCGTGGTGGCTAGGGCTGTCCATGGGCTGGGCCGGGTTTGGCCTGAGAAAATTTTTTTTAGGCCGGACTCGGGTAGTGTAAGCCCAAGCCTGTACTCGGGCAAGTGGCAAGCTGAGCTTCGGGTAGGGGTAGCTACCCGCAGCCCAGCCCGTCACCTATTGTGCGGGCTTTATGGGCGAACTTTGTGGGCAGGCTTTTGTTGGGCTTCTTGGGCGGGCTTCTTGGGCCCTATTGAAAAAATATACAACTTTATTTAATTTTTTTGTAAATTATATTTTTGAATTAAAAGTATAGTCAATATCAAAATTGAAAAAAATTAAATAATGAATAATTTTATTTATGAATAGAAGAGAAATTACATCATAATAGAATAAGTACATCCCAACTAGGTTGTCACCTACCCACCTATCTATCATTTGCACAATTCTACCCATTAAAAGCTTTTGTACATGAAAAGCTAGAATGTTTCATACATGAAAAAAATAAATTAGTCTTAATATCTAAATTTCTAAAACTTCAAATTCTGACATTGGGGGATTTATTTTCATATTTTGATCTCTTTTTTCAACAACATACCAATCTTGAAGACACAAAAGGGCTTCCACTTTCTTTCCATCCAAACAACTCCTATACTCATCAATGATACGTCCACCTGTACTAAAAACATATTCGGATGCTACAGTCAATATAGGAATTGTTAGTATATCACGAGTCATGGTGGAAAGAATTGGAAACTACTTTCATATCCTTTCCACTAGGCCAAAATATCAAAATCGGGATCTTCAACACTTACCATTGGAGCATTGTAATATTGTTGAAGTCTAGTTAACCCCCTAGATGTTGACATACCTCATTTGTTCAAAATTGAAACT